CAGCTCAGTCGGTTCGGTATAACATGTGTTCGAATCTTCGCCTTTTTTAAACTTCCTACGGATGGAAAAATGCATGAGAATCCTCTATCACGATCTCTGCCGACTGTAAACTGACTGACTGACACTGACTTTTCAAATAAGGCACTTTATACTGAGGCACAGCCGCTCCACTGAACTCCAGACCAACAAATTTACGACAAATTATGCCCATCATGCGGTTGTACTGTCGACCAGCATTCCAAAGGTTGCAAAAATTTTTTCTCCTTTATTTGCAGCACGGAATCTGCCAACAATAAGGACAGCACCGTATTCTGCCGTGGCCATACCAAATCAGGCGAAACAACCATTCTGCCCCATGTGTACGCCGTATGGCTACAATTCTCCTTCATACACTTGACCCATTTTTATTTATTAAAAAAATTAATATTGAGCGATGTAAAACATCCATGGAACATTTCGATCGTTTCGTTTCAGCAATAAAACACATGCTGTTCTATTTTTATATTTGTTATAACTCTGCTGCCACAAACACAATTCATTCAACTCATCAGCCCTGTTCCGCTTTCCGTAAATTGTGGCACCCGTTTCAAGGTCGAGGTGATTTCTCGTCTTCCTGCCTTGCCTCACCACCTCCTATTAGCTACGTGGCTGATCGTCTGCGCAAATAATTCTCTGAAAACCAGAACCTCTTCCGGTTTTTTATGGAGCATTCGTATTTTTTTCCTATGCAATATCTGTGCATTATCGGAATTTTGCTAGGTACTTCTGTTACCGAACACATCATTTATCGATTCATTCACTTCTAAAATCCTCAACCCCATTCAGGTCACAAGAACCATTGCTTCATGAGACTTTTTAAATGGCTCTTTCCCGCCGTCAAGCAGACAATCTTCGTAAATCTAAATTCCAAGGGGTGACAATATCAGATGATCTGCATACCGAGTCATTCGGTTTTTGCTCGCAAGTCATTTTCCCTCTGACTTTTTCCTGGAACGTTCCCTCCTCTTTGGTGGGAGAATTATTTTTTTCCAAAACACTGGATTTAGTTTCCTCCCTTTAATTTACGACACGATAAATTTCTAAACGTAGCCTTCGAAAGAGTCTCAGCTGGAAAAATTGAACCATGAACCAAGTTACTGCTGTCCCGTCGTCAGGTGGTGAAAAACAACACCGAGGTAAAAAGTCGCCGTCGAATGCGGTTACTTTTATCTTTGAGTTTTTGCTTTTTTTGTTAGCCGATCGTGGTCGTGCGCAAATGTGAGGTAATTGGCAGTGATCGCTAAGTTCCGAGAGAAAAAACCGGAAACCAGTGTCGAGGAAAGACCGTCGACAGTCGCCTTGGGGGCCATAACACCTGCCAACCGCAGAAAAGCAAACATCAGACATACCATAGGGTCTCGGAAGGCGATGTGTCCGCGACTGTTTTGCACGTCGTCCCTCACCGCAGCCATCGTCCACCCGCTGCAGTACCTCCTGCAACTCCTGTCGCCGCCAACGCCTAAAGGTTCACCGCCCGATCTGCGGTCGTGGTCGCGGTCGCCACCGGAGACGGTTTTTCCACACGATGAAACGGCGGCCATTTTTCTAGGAATCCGGCAACTCCGCCTCAAGGTTGAAGTGGTCGTGCCGGAGATGCATTTTTCGGTATGATGGCCGCCGACTTCGCCGCTGTCTGAAAATGACACGTGCAGGAGAAGAAAACAACCAACCGACGGTTGTAGGTGCAATT